TTGAACCGGCACTGCCTACACTGGAAATTCAAGGAGTCCTAACCACTGGACCACCAGTAAAATCCCATCACTAAACTCTTAAATAGCTATCTTAAGAACATTTTAGATTTTCAAAAGTGAGTTCAAAAGTGAGTTAAGTATTTTCAAAACTATGAGTCTGATAGGTAGGGGAAAAATGCTCTTAAAGTCTTGATTATCAGTTGTCCTATTTTTGGAAATTAAAGAAATGTAAAATAAAATAAATACAAGGAGCCACTCATTCATCAGAAATATCAGAAATAAAAATGATACTGTCCATGAATTCCCTGGTTGTCCAGTGGTTAAGACTCAGCACTTTCACTATGAGGGCCCTGGTTCAGCCCCTGGTTGGGGAACTAAGATCCCACAAGCCATGTAGTATGGCCAAAAAAAAAAAGAAATAAAGTCCAACATTGGCAGGGTTATGAAGAGATAGGCATGTCCATATATTGCTAGTGACACTTTAGGTTAGTTCAATCATTTGTGAAGTAAAACCATTTAAAAAACCTATTCACCTAACTCTACTCCAAAGATATGACTTGAACATTAAAAATTATGTGTGGGAATTTTTTGGCTATGATATAAGATAGTCATTAAAAGAAGCAGAAGCTCAAAATTTAAGTGGGAGCTAGTGAAGCAAATTACTTTATTAATATAGTGATGGACCATTGTGTTACAACTAAACATCATTTGTATGTATACTGCATTGATTTAAGGAAGAGTAGATATGAAATAAGTGAGAAAAGACCTTAAAATAGCAATTATTGATTAGTTAAAAATAATTTTTCTATAAGGAAAAAGAAGAGCATTTATCAAGGTTGTTTAAAGAGTTGATGTTTCAATTCAATTTTGGTTCGAATGTACACTTGAATATTTATATATATATTTGTCACCCAACATGCAGACTTTTCTTACTTAGTACTCTCTTGAATCTAAATATTTTATGGAGATTTTTTACTTTGTGTTGATGGACCACACATGTTGTATAAACTCAGTTTATTGTCCTCAAGAACCTGAAGAACAAGCTTGTTTTGAACTCTTAAATATTACATCCCTCATTTGGACAGTTAACAAGGTCTATTAAAACTCCCACAGGGCAGGAATTGGCAATTATAGCAGTAGATGGTGGAAACCAGATTTCATCACAGAGAGCTCGGGGCAGGGTGGCCAAGAGGACTAGCAGTAAGTGGGGACAGCTAGAGAAAAGACGCAGAGGCTTTGGTTGCCAGAAGAGCCCTAGAAGGAAGTAACCGCCAGAGAGGGATCACACGCACTCTCTACAGGTTTCATTTCCTGCCTAGCAGTTCTGAGAAGGGCTTCTGCTTGGAACTTTCCAAGAATAAGATACACTATCTCCTAGAATGATCCAGTGATCCATGTGGACAACTCCTGTTTTGTTTTGTTTTTTTTCAATTTTGGCTGTCATGCAGCATGCAGGATCTTCGTTCCCCGACCAGGGATTGAACCCGGTACCCATGCAGTGGAAGCATGGAGTTTTAACCCCTGAATCAAGGACTCCGGGAAGTTCCTGGATACTGCCTTTCATATGTATACACACACACACACACACACGCACATACACACACACACATATATATCTTTTTAATATCTTTATTTATATATTTGGCTGCACCAGGTCTTAGGTGCGGCACACGGGATCTTTAGTTGTGGCATCTGGGATCTAGTTACCCAACCAGGGATCAAACCTGGGCCCCCAGAATCGGAAGATCCAGTCTTAGTCACTGGACCACCAGGGAAGTCCTGTGGATAACTCCTTTGAGAGTTGGCTTCCTTATGCCAAAGACCTGTCTCCCTTTGCTTTCCACCTAATGATCCTGTTTCTGAGTAATCTTTGAGGCTCCAAAAGATGAATCTGATCCCTAGAACAGCTTTGAAAGACAATTTTTGTACTTCCTGAGTTTCCAGTTCTCCAGGTTGAACCTTCTCAGGACTTCCAACCATTCTTCATTTAGCTGCTTTCCTTCCCCCTAGTGATCTTGGTGCTGACTCCTGGCTATACTGCAGGTGATCATTATCCCCTTTATAGTGTGCTGCCTGGAACAGAGTACAAGGTATGGCAAAAAAAAAAAAGAACAGTCTGTCATCTCCCTGGGGTTCTTTCTTGTAGTGAAACCAAGAATTGCATTAGCAGAATTGGCATCTATTGTGTTATCATTGATTTCTGTGGAGCTTATCATCAACTAAAACCTGTAAGTAGCATTATTCTCTTTTTTCAGCATGCACAGTTGCCAAGCCACATCTTCCACATCCTGCAGCTGTTCACTGGACTTTTTGATCTATAGATTTCAGCTTCTTTCTGAGCAGTTTTCTTAGTGATAATTTGCTGTGGGTCACTTCAGTTTTTACAGTGACATGAGGAGGCTTCTTAACAGTGTTTGAAATAAATTGAGTGTCTGTACCAAGAGTGGTTTCTTGGTTGATGGGGAGGGATTGGGGAACTTGTCAGTGCCTGTTTTCTGTTTCTCTCCCTTGGTAATATGCAGGGTTCACCTGGAAGGCTTCTGTTCCTCAGACGCCTTGGGTATGTTGGAAGAGACTCAAAAGTAGTTGTTGTTTGCATAAAGAATTACATTGATTCCTGGAAGAGGTACTGAGAGATAGGTTAGTATACCATACCCCCCACACCCAAATTTTTAGCATTTGGAACTAAGACCTGAGGCAAATAAGAACTGCTTCTTATTGATTCACTGAGCAAACTAGTGATAAGAGGCAACTTTAGCATCCAGGTCTTCGGACATGCTTTCCTAGTGGTTCAGATGGTAAAGAATCTGCCTGAAATGCAGGAGACCCAGGTTTGATTCCTGGATTGGGAAGGTTCCCTGGAGAAGGGAATAGCTACCCACTCCAGTATTCTTGCCTGGGAAATCCCTTGGACAGAGGAGCCTGAACAGGCTGCAGTCCATGGGATCGCAAGAGTCAGACACAACTGAGCGACTAACGCTTCCACTTTTCACACTTCTGGCATGCATAGATACTAACCTTAAAAAAATTTATTTACTTATTTGGCATGCTGGATCTTAGTTGTAGCACTCAGGATCTTTAGTTGTGGCATGTGGCATCTGGTTCCCTGATCAGGGATTGAACCTGGGCTCCTTGCAACGAGAGCATGGGGTCTTAGCCACTGAACCATCAGGTATGTCCTGCATAGAAACTCACTTAATCGATTTTACCTGAGTAGCAGCTTTCAACTGTTCACATTAAGATACTTTATAGATTTCCTCCCACCCCACCCTTCTTATGAGTTTAGTTTCTCAAGAGCTTAGATGCTTCCTTGAATTCTTCCACCATGTGAGTAAATGATGCCCTCTTAGATGCTTAGCAAGGTCAGCTCTGGTGGTGAAGTGAGGCAGGATCCTCTCTGGGACTTCCAAGTCCTTTGCTGGCTTTCTGCCAAGCACTTTCTTCATGAGGTTATGTGATTGGTGGGAGAAAATGAGATCACCCTGGATCACTCAGGTGCCAGGTGGGGTCTGAAGAATCCCCAGGGGCTGGACTTCTGGGAGCACTTGACACAGAGCTGTCTAGTCTCTGGCAGCTAATGTTATGTGTCAGGTGGGACAGCACATTGTGATGGCCCTCAGAGGTCCTGTCTCCTCCTGGGCATCTGAGGCAGCATATGAGACTCAGGATAGAGGAAAGCACTTTGTAGGCAGGTGGTCATACCAGTCTGCCAAGTGTCAGAAGGATTTTTATTTGTAATTTTTAGTGTTCATGAACCGTTTTTTTTCTTTACTCGATTGCAGATTCCTGGAGGAAGTTGAGTCTCTTTCATTATGATATTCCATCACTGCAACTGACAGTGTATTCAGTGATGTTTCCAGATTCAGGTGGAGTGTCAGGATATATGTTTACTGCTTGGCTGCTACCTGGCTGTAGCAGAGCAGGTCCCTTCAGCTTTTGCAGGGGTTGATGCTTTATCTGTAAAATGAGCAGTTTGGAGTGACCTCCAACGGCTCTTTTAGCAACAGACCCTCATATTCTGGGAGCTTACACAGCTATTGGAATGTATACTTGTAGTGTATCTTAGTGAAGTCCTTGTTGTTCTCTTTTCTGCTGCTTAATTACTAAAACAGTCCACCCAGGGGATACCATCCTCTCTGTCCTTCCTCTGCATGTAATAGGAAGGTTTTCTTCTTCCACTATCTTTAAAAAATTGGCAGATCTGTTAAAATAAAAAGGAAGACGGGTGGAAGGGAGATGTTGCAACAAGGGCCAGTGGCGGGTACCTCTCATGCTCCTAGTCTTCCTCCCAGTTGCTTTTAGCTCCATTTCTCAATATTCATGCTGGTTGCAAGAAAAGAGTCCTAGGATGAGGGAGTGAGTATACATCAAAGAGTATAGAACATACCAGAGGTCCTGTCGGAGAGAAAGGGAACATCTTTTGTAACTTTGGGACCTGGTGGAGAGTTTGAGTAGATTCAGATGATCTGGGCGGGATTTCTGGACTGCAGAAGGTTCTTAACTGTACTGAATGTATAGGAAAAATAGAATACAACTTAGGAATATTTAGATTCCTGCCCTTAAAGAGATTGCTTCTGGGGAAGATGGATGTAGATAAAAAGTCACTGTTGTTCGGGGTCCAAGAAATTAGCTCAGTGGAAGGGGTTGTTAATCCCAACCTAAGGAATAGGAAGGACTACCAAGAGGTGCCTGTCTGCATCTCCTCCCACCCCTCCCAAGCAGTGCCTCACCTTTGTTCTGTCCTGGTGTGCTGGCAGATTTAGAAACTTGTGAATGTGGCACCGTCGGTTGGGAGGCAGAAGTCGAGTGAGCTCAGCCTGCCCGTGTGCACTTTGTACCTTTTTCATTTCGGTCGGTATCAGGCATTCTCACATACGTAATCCATAGTGCAGCTGTCACTGACTCTGTGACAATGGCTGCTTCTGCCCTAGAGCCGACCCCAGGCTCGGACTTAAAAGCACGAGCCGCTGGAGGTCTGAATGCCACCCCTGTCCCTCCAGTTACCATGTCCACGCAGAGACTTCGGGATGAGGACTACCGCGACTACAGCTCCACCGACGCGAGCCCGGAGGAGAGCCCGTCTGAAGGCCTGAACAACTTCTCTTCCTCAGGGTCCTACATGCGGTTTGGGGAAAGCAACAGCACAACGTAAGTAGCTGTTCTGTCTGCCCGAGGGGTGGGAATCGTATTCCCACTTTCTGTGTTAGTAATGTAATCTCCCTTTGAGTTATTTTTGCCCCCTGATTTTATCAGTTCCCTACTTTACAGATGAGAGTAACACGTAAAGAGATGAAGTGAGTGATGGTGCTGAGATCTGAGCTCTTTGTCAGTTAATCTCTACTCTGTTTCTTATTCTTTGTTTATTTCACCCGCGTTGGTCGCAGAAGGCTGGTGCTAAGTAACAGCCTGAGCATAAGAAAAACTTCTAGAGAGAACATTCTCTTAATTTAGAACCTTGGGTCATCTGTGCTAGAAGCTTCAATAACTCCCAGTCCAGTACAGACAGTCCTTTGCAAAGTCTCCCCCAGACTTCTGTCCCCATCACCAAACAGCCAGGGCATTTGACAGAATAAATAGAAAGAGGGAAGAATAACTTCTCCTGCACTATGCCCTCCTCCAGGAGATCTTCCCTACCCAGGAATTGAACCCAGGTCTCTCGCATTGCAGGTGGATGCTTTATTCTCTGAGCCACCAGGGAAGCCCAAGAATATGGGAGTGGGAAGTCTGGGATCTTCCCGACCTAGGAATTGAAGTGGGGCCTCCTGCATTGCAGGCAGATTCTTTACCACTTGAGCTACCAGGGAGGTCCTGAAAGATTCAAGGCGTTGGTAAAGAAGAGGAAACTTCCCTGGTACTCCAGTGGGTAGGACTTTGCCTTCCAATGCAGGAGATGTGCTTTCAGTCCCTGGTCAGGGAACTCAGCTCCCTCGGGCCTCACTGCCAAAATCCCAAAACATAAAACAGAAGCAATATTATAACAAATTCAATAAAGACTTAAAAAAAAATGATCCTCATCAAAATAAATAAATAAAGTCTTTAAAAAGAAAAAGAAGAGGTGATTTGCTTTGTATGCCCTTAGGAGGGCTTACGCCTTATCTCTGGAAACTGAATCCCAAGTCTCATCTGGGTTAGTTTGGCCCTCTGTGGGCCTCAGTTTTTCCAAATATAAGATTGAGGACCCCTGTGTGAAGCTATGCTGATTCACTCTTCAAATGAGAAGATTCAGAAGAGGGTTTTCTACTCCACTGAGTTGTCTGGTTCAGTTTTGAAGTCAGCAGAGCCCTAACATTTTCTCTGGACCGCAGCACCCCATCTTCTGCAGCACTTCTGTTTATTTCTCAAGCTTTGCCATCATCCTCTGTGTGTTCTCTTGGGGGTTGGGTGTGACTCACTGAGGGATCCATTATGTCCTTGACTCACACTGTCCCCTGTGACTGTCCAAGGAGACCATGGGAGCTTCTCTTGGAGCTCATTACTGGTAAAGCCCCCCAGCTGCAGTCTTTCCTGGTGCACGGCATTTTCTCTAGTGAACTCCAAACTAGAGGAGACGGTCTACCCACATTATAAGCCCTTCTCCACCTCTCGCTGTTTTCTGCTCATTAAGGTTCCATCTCCATAGGATGGAACCTTTCTTTCTCCTGTGGCATGCTACTGTAGATTCCCCCATATGCTTGCAGTGTTAGTTGATGGAAAAGATTGCTTAGGCCCCAACCAGCAGCAGTGAAAACTATCTTTCCTCTCTCTTCCCTAACTTTACCTACCTCCGTGACTTCCCCCATGTGGAAGGAGTGTCAAATGCAGCCATGTGATGGCTTCTCTTCAGAAGTCACTCTGGTTACTGTAAAACACTTCTAAGCTTCTCTAGTTTTCTTTCCAGTTTTTGCTCCTTGTTCTTAGACATCAGCTTGTCTATGCAGTGCTTGCCATATGGGCTCTAGATTTTCATTTTTAGAGGGACTCCTCTGAAGTTCACAGCCCATCATCTAGCAACATCAGGATGGTAGCTCATAGGTTTTGTCATACTGAAGACAATGCATGGCTTTTACTATTCTAAATCTCTTTTTTTTTTCCACATTGGGTTGTGACTAATAGTCAACGCCAAATTATCTCCCATTGTTTGCTGGAGATTGACCTATTGGAATGTTTGATCAATGTTCTCTTGGCCTTGCTTGGGGATGTACTTTTTCTGAGGGCCCATCCTGCCCTGGTATTGTGAAACAAGGTAGGTGACCCAGGAAAGCCCCTCTGTATCACTCTGTAAGTGATAGCAGGTGTCACAAGCCCTTCACAAGTGGTGCAGGGAAAAGTACTCTTTTGGGACTTAGAGGATTGGTTGAGTACTTGCCTGGGGCCTGGATCCCCAGAAGCGTTACATGTAGAAATGTGCCAAGTATGATTAAGTGTAAGCTGATTTGGGACCTAGTTAGCTTTATAGGTGAGAAGTGTTAGGGACAAGTTTTTGAGCTGGGTTCCTGTTTCCTAGGGACTTACTCCACTGTGTTATCTAATTTGCTAAGGAACAAAGTATGTGGAAAAAATACATGGAACAAAGTACAAGAAGCAAAGTATATGCATGCACACCAGGCTCTTCTAGGGGATTAGGACTCAGTAAGAATCCCCAATCAGGGATGCAGATAGGAGCCCCAGGTGCTTCCATGATAATGTGTTTGGTGAGGTTATTTCCTAACCCTTCAAGTTATCAAGCTGTTGACTGCTTTGATGATGGCCCCAGATTTTACTCTTTCGGGCAAAGTTTTCCTGTTGCCCTATTGAGCTACATTATACTGCTCTCGACCGAGCTTTGATACTTTTTCCCCCAGGCTGGCAGGCTGAGAAACCAGTTGACTGAAACCAGTGTTCGGTAGGTTATCTGGAGTTGCCATTTGCAAAGTATGGTCTTCAGACCCTTTGGGTGTCCCAGGACCATTTTAAGAAGCCCACGAAGTGAAAACTGTTTTCATAATAATACTAGATGTGATTTGTCTTTTCACTGTGTTGACATTTGCACTGATGGTTCAGAAGCAACGATGGGTAAAATTGCTGGTGCCTTAGCATGCATCAAGGAGGTAACACCAAATTGTGCTCATCATCATTGTATTTTTCACTTAAGCATGTCCTTGATGAAGCAGTCATATCATTAATTTTATTAAATATTGACCCTTTAGTCCAGAATATTTTGTTAATATTCTGTGTGGCAAAATGAAAAGTGCACATGAAATACTTCTACTGAACGACTAGGAAACTGTAGGTTGTTCAGATCTGAGTACTTGGCAGATATTTTCTTGAAAATGAAAGTAATGAGACTATCACCTCAGGAAAAACTATCAAGGGAGTTCCCTGGTGGTCCAGTGGTTAAAAAGTCACCTTTCAGTGCAGGGGACGCGAGTTCAATCCCTGGCTGGGGAACTATGATCCCACATGCCGCAGGTGCAACTAAGCCAGCATGCAGCAACTAGAGAAAGCTGTCCAGCCACAGTGAAGATCCAGCACAGCCAAAAAAAAACAGTACTGTTTGTTGCCAACAGTGAAATTTGAACTTTTGAGTAAAATCAGAAAAAATAAACTCATATCCAGCACTGTGACCTTGACAGCTTCCCTTTACCTAAAGACTTGTCTAATGAGATTAGGGCTGATACTAATAAATGTGATTTTTTTTAATGTCGTATAATGAAATGTGCCAGCATTTGAAAGATCCATATAGCTCTGGGAACCAGTATCTCCCATATGGCCAAAGTATGCTGTTGGGAAATTGTGTGGGTAAAAGATCTATCAAGGAGCAAGATTGCCAGTGTATTTTCACATAGCAGAGTATGAAAAGGTCAGATTCCACATTACAGCTAACTCCCAAGAAACTATGTGTGTTGAGCTTTGATGTAGTATCAAATAAAAAATACCACAGTTGCCTGAACAGGCTATTAAGATACATTCTAGCTACATATCTGTGTGAGGGCAGATTTTCTTCAGGGACTTCCATCAAAGCAATGTATCACAGGAGGTTGAATTCAGAAGATAATCCAGCTATCAAACAAGACATTGAAGAGATTTGCAAAGAAAGTAAGATAGTGCGCTTCTCACATTTTATTTTTTTGGAAAATAGAGTTATTTTTTGTTAAAAATTGGTTATTTTTATTAACATGTCATAAGTTTATTGCTATTTTAAATTAATACATATTTTTAAGTTTCTTGGTTTAATTTATAATATATATATTATATGTATATGTATACATGTATATGTATATATATACTATATATATATATATAATTAGATATAATCCATATAAGCAAAAACTATGTGGGATCCTCATTAATTTATAAGTGCATAAAAGGGTCCTAAGGTCAAAAAAGTATAAGAACTGCGATTTGCTAGGCTTATTTTTCCCTCTTACCCCCATAGTTAAGATTCTCTAGTCCATGGAATTGATACTGTGATACCTCATATGGTTTTGGGTAATCCCAGCTCGTGGCCATTGGTGAAAAGCTTAATTTTGGAAGTCTTTTTGGTACAGTGGATAGGAATCCCCCTGACTGCATGATATATGGGTTTGATTCCCTGGTCCGGGAAGATCCCACGTGCCTTGGGACATCTAAGCCCACGTACCACAGCTGCTGAAGCCCGCGCGCATAGAGCCAGTGCTCCACTGTGAGAGAAGCCACCTCAATGTAAAGCCTGTGCACCACAATGAAGAGTAGCCCCTCTCTCCACAACTAGAGAAAGCCCGAGCACATCAACAGAGACCCAGCACCACCAAAAATAAATATATTAATTATTTTAACAGAGAATAATTTTGGTCAATTGCTTAAGCCCTGCTGTTTCGGAGTTGAAGTATGCTGTTCTGGTCCAGTCCTCTCATATGAGATGATAAGCCCAGAGGAGGGAAGGGAATTTTCATAATGAATTAATGGCAGAATCAGGGCTGGAGGGATCTGATCTCCTATGAAACCCAGCCCAGAGGTGTTTTGGGGAGGCCTCTGGTAGGCAGGTAGTTTCGGTGAAGTGCTTACCTTTGCCCTTAAGTGGATTAAACATTTGCCAAGATAGAAATTTGACTGGTCCGTCATTCTGCCCATAATCTCCTGGTCACTGGCCCCTGATAATGGAAGAGTCACCCCTGGACCCTTGCCGTCTCTGTTTAGTCCAGGAGAGCACTTGCCTCTTCTCATTCAGACTTGAAGCAGTTTTTTTGATCTTGCATGAGAAACTTGGGGACAGTAGGAAGGTCAAGAGATTTTCTTTTTAGAGGTAGAGGGAGAAAGGTTACCGAGAGTAAAATTCCTTTCCAGAGAGTGTAGACGGATCTTATTTATTATGGTTCTTACATGTTAATGGGCTTCCCCAGTGGCTCACTGGAAAAGAATTCGCCTGTAATACAGGAGACCCTGGTTTGATCCCTGGGTAGGGAAGATCCCTTGGAGAAGGAAATAGCAACCCACTCCAGTGTTCTTGCCTAGGAAATCCCATGGACGGCGGAGCCTGGAGGGCTACAGTCCATGGGGTCACAAGGGTCAGACACGACTTAGTGACTAAACCACCACCACAAGTTAACACATGATTTGCTTTCAGTTTCTACTAAATTGCAGTTTGGAAGACATATGTGGAAGCATTGTTTAGGAGGTATTTAGGTTATATGTGGAGAGGAATTTCCAGACAGTGCCAAGGACCAAATCTTGAGGATGTCTGGGGCAAAGTGGTATCATGTTTGATCTTTTTCACATGTCTGCCTTATTTTCCTGCAGACTTAATTAGTTTCTAGAGACCAAAGGTCACGTCGGATCCATGCAATTTCCACCATTGCATTAACACAATGTTTTACACATTATAGATGGTGTTTGTTAAGTGGAAAAATAATGACACATGAGAGGCTTTCCAATTGCAGCTTGAGAGGGTCAGTCTATAACAGCCAAGGGGAAACACTGTTCTCAAGGCAGAAAGATAAACTAGGTGACTGTCTGAAGAGGGCTTCTCCAATCTTAGGACTCTATGGCATTTAACTTTTTTTTTTTAATACACAATACACCAGGGACTGTGGGACCATATGACTTTTACTCTGTTCACATTACATAAAACTTTCTGATAGGGATGTGGGGCTTCTATTTTGTTATTTCCCCTGTTCTTTACTCACACCAGTGTGTCTGTCCTTCACAGTTATGTTTGGAATCCTCTGTTGCAATTCTGGATCTGAGTCTTTATAGTGGAAAGTTCAGGGTGAAAACCAATACACCGGGAGCGACACCATACTGTCCCTCTGGTCTAATCTCTAAGCACAGTGAACTCAGAGATGCCTCGGGGAATGGACATAGCCCAGTGACCAGAAGAGTGGGCTCGGGGGCTAGACAGCCTAAGTTTGAATCCAGACTCACACTCAGATGTGTGACCTTGAAAAAGTTGCTTCATCCTATGTAAAATGAAGTTAATACCTATCTCATAGTGTTGTTCTGGGCTTCCCTGGTGGCTCACTGGTAAAGAATATGCCCGCCATGCTGGGAATTGAATGAGATGCTTCGTGAAGGTACTTAGCTTAATGGTAAGTACTCAATAAATGTTACATCTTATTATTGTTAACCTGCCCTTGTCTGCCTTATTCCCACTTCAGATGGTTCCAGACCCTGATCCACCTGCTAAAAAGCAACATTGGCACAGGACTCCTGGGGCTACCTCTGGCGGTGAAAAATGCAGGCATCTTGGTAAGGGTCTGCGTCGGTGCAGGGAAGCATTGTGACAAATTTTAGGAGATGGTGTGTGTGTGTGTGTGTGTGTGTGTGTGTGTGTGTTTAATTTACTTCATGTAAAACATTTTGAAATGAGAAGCTTTTCTTTTCCAAATGCAGTTGAGAAAAAGCAGGGTTCAGGTTTATTCATCTAAAAGTATGTATTGAGGATCTGCTGTGTGCCGGGCACTCTTCTAGATTCTTAAGACTATGATTAGTGAGTGAAATACACAAAGATTCCTGCCCTCATGGAGGCTACTTGAGGTAAGGAGGAGGTCCTGGCCGTTTCCATCAATAATATTAACTAAAGAATAACAGAATTCTCTCCATTTTTCAGTCTTTCCATGCCCTGCCCTTAGGCGGACAACTCTGAAAATCTAATTTTTTTTCTTTCTTGATTCTTCCCCTGATAGACTGCCTGTCCAAAGCCATTCTGCTTTCTTTTAAAGTTGGAGCTGGGGGATTCCACTGGTTAAGACTCAGTGCTTCCACTGCAGAGGGCACTGGTTCAAACCCTGACTGGGGAGCTAAGATCCCACATGACTCGCAGCCAGGAAAAAAAAAAAACCGAACTGAATAACAATGAAAATACAACATATCAACTTAAAAAAATTATATGGGAAAAGTAAAAATAAAGTTAGAGGTAGCTCAGAGGCTGGACTTGTCCTCAGCTAAAGACTGGCCTGTGCCATTACTCTAGACAGAACTCGCCCCCTCCCACCAGCCCTTAGCCTGTCTCTTCTTCCCCAACAGTCCCAGGAGCCTTCTGTTCTGCTGAGTAGGCAGCAGTTTCAAAACAGCCTAATCTGTGTCATTCTCCTCAGGGAGATTAATTCTCTAGAAGGCCTACCGAGGTTCAGAGGGTACCCTTCCTGCTCAACTAATCTCTGTGAACACATTTGTTTCTTGAATGCCCTGCTGGAAGTTCTGTCATTGGAAGGTACCCTAGTTACATTTTGACCATGTGCAAATTCCAGTTCTAACTCTGCTTGCCTGTCTCTCCCTCCCTGGCCCGCAATGCCTGTCCACAGATGGGTCCCCTCAGCCTGTTGGTGATTGGCCTCGTGGCTGTGCACTGCATGCGTATCCTGGTGAAGTGTGCTCACCACTTCTGCTACAGGTAAGAGTGTTCCATGCACCTCTCGAGTGACAGCCTGTCCTTCCAGGTTCCGTTACCAGCGCCGGAAGCGAGCACTCAACACACATCACTCTCGGCTCTCTGTGCCAGCTGAGGCTGGCTGCTGGTTAACGGCCTTTCTCTGGAAGTTTCTCTGCCCTTTTTTAGCTTGTTGTCATCTGTCACATGGGCTTCCCGGGTGGCTCAGTGGTAAAGAATCCACCTGCCACTGGAGTAGGCACAGAAGACGTGGGTTCGATCCCTGGGTCGGGAAGATCCCCTGAAGGGGGGCATGGCAACCCATTCCAGTGTTCTTGCCTGGAAAATACCGTGGGCAGAGGAGCCTGGCGGGCTTCAGTCCATGGGGTCCCAAAGGGTCAGATATGACTGCGTGACTGAGCACATACATACGCCATCTGTCACACTAACCTATAACTAGTGTACAGAGACCATATGTAGTTTTACGTGCTTTGTAATATGTACCCCATTGAAAAGATTTTACCAGATGATTGCTTAATTATAAGGAAGTAACTGTCCCATTGACTTCAGACTTATGCTCCTCAAAAGCATCAGACTGAGGACTTGGTGGTGTGCCTGGGGTGGCAGATGGGGAGCCCACCCAGGTCTCCATGAGCTGTTTGTCCTGTCATTGTCATTGTCTGACCCCACACTGCGCCCTCCCCTCCCTTGCTTGCTCCCAGACTGAACAAGCCCTTTGTGGACTATGGGGATACGGTGATGTACGGCCTGGAAGCCAGCCCCGTCTCCTGGCTCCGGAACCACGCGCACTGGGGAAGGTAATGGGTTTCTTTCTTCTTTGCTGCTGTGGCTGCCCAGTGTGGGGGTCTTCAGATAGGGTGGTGAGGGGTTGAAGACCGTGTAGCTAGTGGGAAGAACATTGCTTGGGCTCAGCTCTGCCAGTGGTCATTTGTGTGACCTTGAGCTGTGTGACCACTCCTCTCCCTGGGCCTCAGTTTTCTCACTGGTAAGACAGGAGGGCACTGGCCTGAAAAGTAGCTAAGGGCTCTTCCAGCTTTGACAGCCTGTGACCAGTGATGGTATTGTATCCCCTCTTTTGGTCAACAGACATTTGAACACACTCTTGTAAGTGGTACAAAGCAATTCCAGGTGTAGGGAGGATGGTTTCCCCATATTACATGGTCCTGGCTCTCCAGGAGAAGGAGAAAGATGTGTGGGAGATCTGTTGAGAACAAGAGGTCAGGGTGTACCAGTAGAGAGAGTATCAGGAACTAGCAATGCACTGCAGGGGCCCCGAGGGGGAGGAATCCTAAAGATGCTCTTGTCCACTGTACCAGTGAGAAGCGTGCTTGATAGGTGCTTTCAGGGCTGGGCACTGGGCAGGAGAAGCAGGGCTTCAAGGGGGAGGTGAGGGGAATTAGAGCAAAAGGGTTTGTTAGGGAAAGAGATGTTTCAGGAGCTGACGTGGGAGGTGTTTGGAAATTTCTCCTTCTGATAATTTTTCAGACACCTGGAGAGAGGTAGTCTACTGTTTGTTTCCCATTTGAGGCAATGGTACGTTTTGATGTAGAAAAGTGATAACATCAAGGGCTGGATCCTTTTTTTTTTTTTTAATGTTTGTTTATTTGGCTGCATTGGGTCTTAATTGCAGCTCTCAGGATCTTCATTGCAGTGCATGGGTTTACTTGCCCTGGGACATGTGGGATCTTAGTTCTCTGACCAGGAATCGAACCAGAGTCACCTGCATTGCACAGCAGATTCTTAGCCACTGGACCACCAAGGAAGTTCCTCCCACCTTTTTTTTAAATTGAATCATATTAATGTTCTCCGGAAAAACTCCTTTTTGTGATCATAGGGAGACTTTTACCTTCACACATAGTAAGCGTCCTCCTGTGATGTAGGTTTCTGTAATTCTTTAAGCAAAATAATTTCATGTGCCTGGAGAAGACAAGTTGCCAAGTGACCCCTGTTGGTTGGTTGGTTGTTGACTGAGTCTTTCTTCTCCTCTCTCCTTTCTTTTTCTGCATCTCTGTTTTTTCTCTGTCCTCCTCTCTCTCCCAATCCCTCCCCCTCTTTTTCTTTCCTCCCTTCTTCCCTACATCCCTCCCTCCTTTCCTTCCTTCCTTTAATAAAATTAATGTGTGCTCGTGGTAAAAAAAAAAGCAGCAACAACTTTTTTTAACAAGATAGAAAAACATAAAGTGAAGAGTAAAAGTAAAGTCACAGTTGCATGAATATTCTCCTGGAATTTTCTGAGTATGTAAAAACATGTACCAAAAAAATGTACAGATTCCTCACATTTTTTACACTAATTATCATACTATGCATTCTGACTGGCAACTCGGTGGGATTCTTTTTTTCCTTAAAGGTCTTTAGACTTTCTGTTTCGGCACACGTAGACTTAACATATTCTTTTTACCTGCTGTGTACTGTTCCATCTAAAATGGCCCATAATTTAAGCTTTTTCCCTTTGATGACCCATTAGGTTGTCACTAGGTGGTGGTGTTGTAACTGTGCTTCAACCACAGGCTGTTTTGATACATCTCTTTCCATGTCCTATGTGAGAATCAGTTGGTTTTTGATCCAGGTTATAGAAAGAGACTGTGAAGGGGTCCACTTCCTGGGCTCTGATGCTAAGGGCTCCCTGTAGCTTTAGGACAAACATGATGAAATGGGACAGGCGGGCCATAGGGAAGGGGTAGCCAAGGGACTGGGCAGTGGTCCTTAGGTGTGTGCCCCACTCCGGCCAGTCCAGTCTCAGGACTGTCTCGGGTCTACCCGACTGCGTGTAGCATTCCTGGCATGCAGCCAGGAAGGTGTCTCGGGAGCCACACAGATAGCGCCTCCCTCACCTTCTTCCAGGGCTCTAGACCAGTGACACACTTTCCCCTCTTAGCAGGGCACACTCATCCTTGTAACCTGATGGGAAGGGTCTGTGATGACTTGGGAGGAAGCACTCTTCAAACCCCCATCTCTCTGGCTATCTTACTTTCTATCGTTTGATCTTTTATCTTCCTTCCTTCCCCACCCACAGGCGCATTGTGGACTTCTTCCTAATCATCACGCAGCTGGGATTCTGCTGTATCTATTTTGTGTTTCTGGCTGACAATTTTAAACAGGTAGGTCCTTGTGAAAAGAATGGCAAGAGATGAGTGGGCTTTCTGTTTAGGATCCCTCCCAAGCCAATTTTGTTCAGCACGAGAATTGAGATCTTAACACTTTACACAGAACAGGGTCAGCATCGTTTGATTTTATTTAAAGAACTAGGACATCGAGAAACCTCAAGATGTCTTGCTGTCCTCTGGTCTGTATTTTTTATTATTCATTTGTTTATTAGTGGCTGTGATGGGTCTTTGCTGCTGCGCACAGGCTTTCTCTAGTTGCAGCGAGTGGGGGCTGTTCTTTAGTTGTGGCATTTGGGCTTCTCGTTGTGATGGCTTCTCTTGTGGTTCGTGGACTGTAGGGCACAGACTCAGTAGTTGCAGCGCATGGGTCTGAGTGCCCTGTGACATGTGGGATCTTCTTGGACCAGGTATCAAACCCATGTCCGCTGTGTTGGCAGGTGAATTATTAACCAGTAGACCACCAGGAAAGTCCTTTCTTGTCTTTAGGTATGATGTAATCAATCCCAGCCCTGACAGTTGGGTTGCTAATGATAATTAGGAAGATCTCTGAAGATGGTTCCATGACCACTGACCTCTTTACGACCTTGTTCACACACTGAGCCTTTAGCCTAGAACCCCTTCTGGTGGGAGGGTCACTGGCCTTTGTCATTGGAGAGGCTGTCTCTGTTTCTCCCCTTCATTCTAGGTGATAGAAACGGCCAATGGGACCACCAGCAACTGCCACAACAACGAGACGGTGATCCTGACACCCACTATGGACTCGAGACTCTACATGCTTGTGTTCCTGCCATTCGTGGTGCTGCTGGTGTTCGTCAGGAACCTCCGAGCCCTGTCCATCTTCTCCCTGTTGGCCAATATCACCATGGCAGTCAGCCTGGTCATGATCTACCAGTTCACTGTTCAGGTGGGAGCCCAGCCTTCTCACTGTGTCTTACAGATAATCAGAGACACAAAGTGAGGAAGTGAGCAGAAATAGGGGTATTACTTACAAGTGGTGTACTTAGATTAGGGTTTCTTAGCATGGGCACTGGTGACGCTTGGGCCTGATAACTCTTTGTTGCGGGGGCTGTCCTGTGCATCACGGGGTGCTTGGCAGCATCCTGGTCTCTGCCCACAAGTAGCAACTGCTCTCCAGGTTGTGAAAGCCAAAGTGTTTCT